GGCTTTGGATATTCGGAAACCCACAGAGAGAAACGCGATTTAAATAAGCAGCTTTTTATTTGTGGACGGTGGTTCGTGACCGTGGTGGAATTTCGATACTTGATATTTCCTACCACTCATTTAATATAAAAATTTCTAGACGAAGTGCAACATGTTTTAGAAAAAATAAATATTGATTAGAAGCATGTTGGTTCTTGTGATATTAGCCATACATTGCTACCAACAACACACCAACGAGATCGTCAAATTCATTGCTTTTCAGCTTTCAAAAGATGAAGAAAGTTATGACGTGCTATGTGCTACATGGCGTCCCAAGCCTTGAACAAACAGTATATCCCCATCTGAATAGAGTAAATGTAAATAATAACTGTGCCCTGAAACTCAAACCGAGCTCTTTGAAAACACATTAATATTAAGACGTCAACGCGAATTTAAAAGATTCACTTCGAGCCAATCCTTTATTTTATTACTGGGAGACGTCTTTTTAATACTGTATGCTATTACTCTGTTGAACCTTTTAACTTCAATCGTATTTAAATAACGTTGTTCGCTTTGTTTTCAAAGAAAATAAATTTAATGTAAAAAAATCACATAGTAGTTATACATTTCTGTAAAAGAGAAGACAGACAAGCTAAGGTTCACTTGATGACTTGACATAAGATCTAAAACGGATGCTTTTTTTTGATTGACTATTACGTATTGTGTCCCTACGGAGCCACGAATACTAACCGGGCGTTTGCGACTAGACCAAGGGTGCCCCGAGGGGGGCATCGGTCTCGGCTTGGACCGCTGCAATGCGGGTGGGAGCTTGAGGAGCTGGACGGAAGCTCACCCGGGTGAGCGAAAAGCGGATGCGTTGTCGACTTGTTTGTATTCGGATATTCGGAATTCCACAGCTTGAAATCGAAACGCGAATTGAACACTTCACAGATTTTTTATTTGTAGACGATGTTTCGTGAATCGCGTAGAATTTCCCGAAAAAGTCTAAAATGTTTCCGAGAAAATATAACTTGATTTTTAGAATGATTGTGGAAAACGAACGCAAATCTGTGGAATAATAACTGCACCCAACAAATAAGACCTGTCAAAATGACTGCTACCGTAAGTTCGATTTCCGCTTGTGTACAAGATGTATTTAATTCCTGAAAGAAATTCAACGTATGCGTTATATGACATTTGACTGAATGATAGTATCAAAGGTTAGAGTCTCACTTACGATAGTATAATTTTAATTTATTATATTTCGATAATAATTTATGATAAGTAATTCACACCAGAATTAAAAGGATACAACTAGATATAACTATTGTTATGTTGAGAGAAACTTCCACTTGAAAAAGGATAAACACTTATTAGAACATAATATTCTCAATCCAAAAGAGCTAGCATATTTCAGCGTATATTTTAGATCACAATTTAGTACTAAGTCACAGTTAAAATGACCCTCATGGGTACAAACGGGCAAAGTGCACGGGTATGCACTCACACAAATGACCTCTCCTAGTCTGGACGTCATAACTTATATGACTTTTGCCGTCTTATGTTAGTGTAAAAATACTGTAAGCTGCAGCTCTGGAAAGTGCTGCACTTGTGTATACTTTTGTGAGTCCCTTCGATATTTAAATTTAATCTACCGTCACTGCAAATTGTAAAACCTCCTTGCGCACCAATAATAAATATTGGTTAACACTAATTTAGTAGTGTTCTTTATCGACTATTCAAACAATAGTGGCATAGTGTGTTTTTGAGAGCTATACCCAGCTGGGCATAATTATATTTTAGTGTTAGTGCAAAATATATGTGTTATTTTACAGTACAAAAGAGTCTCTCTTGGGAGAACTCTTTTGCACTTAATTTATCTAAATCAGTTGTTAATTAACTTTGATGTAACGGATAAATATTTTAGTGTTTATTTTGTTTGCGTCACGAACCACTATTCACAGATGAAAAGATGTGAAGTGAAATCGCGTTTCGCTTTTAGTCTGTAGATTCCATATATGCAAAGCCAAAATAAGTTGACAGCATATCTGTTTAAATATCACATGGCTTATCACATGGCATTTCACCTGCAATATAAAAATATCGACAAAAACTTGCTACTAAAATGTGAACTAAATTTTATATATTATATTATCTTATACCAACATACTGTCCATAGTTTACGCGAGTAGTAGACATTTAAATAAAACACTTTAACGGTTTAAAACCCGATATATTAGTTAAACTTATTATTTTATACCAACATGTTACAAATATTAAGGTTTTCAAATACATTATATTTTAAAAGTGCTCGTTGGCTCCTGAGCAAAAAGAAACAATTGAATTACATTTTAATAATACCTTTGAAGAATTGTTTAGAGTAATTTTGTAAAACATCGTTCAAGGTTACATTATAAAGCCTTCCATAACCATTAAAGGGAAAGCAGGGGCTTTTCTTAATGTACTTACGGCTCCATTTACAACTTATTACCTTTCCAATTCGTCTCTCCTTTAGGCAAAACATTCGGAGCTACTCCGATACTGTTTTTGTGTTGTGCGCATGTTGGAATAAAATTCACACAGTATTTTTTTTCTGAATGCGAATAAAATGTTTCGCAACGAATTCCCTTTGCGTGGCTTTCCTCTGCGTTATTTGATACTTTGCGGGTTGTTATATAATTTTTATCAAGTGTTGCTGGTTTTAAATGATGAATATTTTTATGTTAATTAAAATTTACTATATGCTTTTCACGAGTAATGTGTGATTTATATGTTTTTTTGATTCGGAATACAGACAAGCATGCGGTTCGACATGGGAAGACAAGATGCTATAGACCTATTTTGGCTTTAATAATTCATCTGTGAACGGTTCGTGATCCGTATGGAATTCTGATATTTCTACCACCCATTCAATGTTCAGATTTCCAAACAAAGTCCAACATATTGTCTATAGTTTACGCGAGTACTAAACAGTTAAATAAAACACTTTAACGGTTTAAAACGCGATATATTAGTTAAACTTATTTGAAAATGTTTTTTTACATCGGCCCGACGTTTCAGATGCTTTGCAGCAGCCATGGTCACGGGGAGACTCCCCCGTATGTTTAAAGTGAGATTAACTAATATATCGCGTTTTAAACCGTTAAAGTGTTTTATTTAAAAGTCCAACATACTTAAGAAAAAAAATTAAAGTGATAAAAAAATAAGTACCTAGTGGGGAACGCACCCACGACCCGTTGACCGTTAGCATATATCGCTACCATTGATTTAGATGTATGTCTAAGCTAGAGAAACCGAAATTTCACCTGGGTAAACTAAGACAATTTTTGTTTCAAAATTTATTGATAAGGCGTTGGAAAAAACAGCACAAATCTAATATATCTTTATAGACGACTACAGACACACGTATGTGTTGTGAAGTACACATCTATGTTTCTGTCTATGCATATCCGAATTTCCACCGCCAGTAGGTCAACAGTGCATTTTAATTGGGTGCAATGTGCCTCTTGCAAGTAGCTTTCATTAAATAAATCTTTTACTTGCTTTTTTTACTGCCATAAGAACTAAGTAATATAATTTAGAACACTAACAAAATTTCATATTCTCCCAATAAAGGTCTTAATTGTAATTGATTGTCATACTTTTTCTGGTACGATTATTTTTTATAAAACATATTTAACGGTTTTAAACTTGAAATATAAAAAAATATGTTTACTACGATCCGCATTGGGGATACTTTACAGCAGCCGTGGCCGTACGGAAAAAATAATTTTAAATTGTTTTAGGCGTTTTAAACCGTCAAAATGTTTTATTTAATCTGTTACTTCTCGTGTACACTATGCAATATGCTTTACAGATTTATATGACCACTATAGCGTATCGTGTCATTAAATTGTAAAAGGGCGCTGCTCTAAATTTATTATTTTCTATTTAGCTCAACGCAACTATTCGTTAACATTCTACAAGTTTCCAAAGTGTGTCATCAGTTTCACCCTATAGCAAGCATGAAAATAACGCCTGGATAAATTTGTTTAACGACATACTTACATTTTATTATCAATTCTCACCACTTCACACTTGGTTGCATATGTTCAGAGTATTCTACGTAGTTTAGTCTTCTGATGTGGTAGTCCTTTGAAAACTTTAGTATTTTTCACATATCCTATGATGACACTATATAATTGTTATGCTACGGATTACTCAATTGTGTAGAGCAACAGCAAGGAACGCTGTAGATGCCGGTTCAAGTCCTGCCTGAGTCGTATTTTTTTTAAATTTTTAAATGGTATCCCTTATTGATTAAAATGAATTTTGTATCTAGGATGGAAATTGTGTCTAGCCATTTATTCAAATTGACTCTGTATTTATTAATATTTTTAATGAATGTTGATTAAATAATGTCAGTAGCTTTCGCGAGAAGTACTAGTTTATATAAAACATTTTTAACGGTTTTAAACAGGAAATGTATTAGTTAAACGACTAATGCAAAGCATCGGAGACACCGGGCCGTAGATAAAATTATTTTTACTAATACATTTTCCCCTTTCAAAGTTTTCTTTAAAGTGTTGTATTTAAATTAATTTTTAAGTTAGATGTACGTACAATAGAGTAGAGAAAATAATGGAAGGTATTAAAAGTTCTCGGTATATTTTTATCAATAATATAAGAGCCTAAATAACAATTAAGTCATTTCAATAAAACACTTTTAATGGTTTAAAACACGAAATGTATTATAGTTAACTTTAACAAATTATACGTTTTGAATACTATCCAGCAGTCGTACTCATGGGGGAATACTAGAATAAAAACAGCTTGCTCTAGAAAATGTAAAAATTATAAAATTAAAGCAACAACAAGAGGCTCCAGAAAATTTCCAACTCAGCTCCGTAGTATGAAATAAGTGGCACTTAACTTTTCAAGTTCCAAGTCTGCTGGTGACAAGAGTTACTTAAAGCTCGCGTTTAAACTGTTTTATTTTAATATTCTAGTTTAAATAAACTCTTTTTTGTTTCAGGTTAAAAATGTCTGTGCCGACCACAGATAGTACTGAAGCAATTACAAATTCCGGATACGGAAGCAGCGACGAGACGGCGAGCTTACTTGTATCAGGGCCGTCTGTAACTGTTATTGTCCCCAACGAGAACAGAACTGTCAAACCGGTCCTCCAACGCCAGGACTGTACCACGCATTTGCGACCACAACTCTCCGGCGGACCTGGAAGCGAAGAAAGCGCTGCGTCTATCAGAGTCGAAGACGGAACCACTAGAAGTGTCCCAGACATAGAATTACAATGCAGGGATCAATCGGACCGCCCTCAAACCCTCGTTTCACCTGTGGCGATGTGTTCGCATCGCGGGTCAGTTACGACGTGCCAGTTAGTTCCACATACGTACAACAGATGTCGTGCTTGCGAACGGCGGCAGTCTACGGCGCCAATGTCGGCGTTGCATTTAGCGCGATCTGTGTCTAGAGAGAGTGTTCGCTCGGCGTTACATTATCCATGCGGTTGTAGTTCTCTACACGCTGTCAGCACTTGCCCTGTCATACAACCTCCAGCGCTATTGCTACCAGCGACAAGCAACAGAATTATACGTCAGAGTTCCCAACCGGAGTCTAGCGCATGCGCGGCGCACTGTGCCCATCATAGCCACCACCCTAGCGCCTCGCTACGACAGCTGAGGGAACCGGGCGATGGAATCGCTGGTATCGCAGCCGACTCCCTTCGAATCAACGGCGGAATGCGGCCTTTTAAGCAGGTGAGTCTAACAACTAGATGGCGCTAGGGATATATAAAACTACAAAATTCATAGTCATTGTGACAATACTTAAACGTTGCTTTTTAACTTTTAATTTAATTATCTATGATGAATACATTTTAATTTTTGAAAATAAAAGAGTATTTATATAAAGATTATAAAATCTACGGTAATATATCAAAAACACAATCCACAGAGCTTTGCGGTAAAAAGCTTCCCTAATTAGACCTCAAGTGAATCAAGGAAACAGCTGTATAATTGCCTGAGTATCTTTACTTTGTTAAGTGACGCGAGATAATTAGTGCAATATCATTTAGTTGAATGGCTGGGGCAAATATATAAAGCAGGCGATTATCAAAACTATGTACTATGACGATATGATTTCACTCCGCTTTAAGCAGTAATGCTATGCTATTTTAATATATAATTTTAGACACTGTCAAACTTACAGCTTAATGCTTTTCACAGACTACGTAATAACATAATACTAAATAGAATAGCTGTGTTCCGAAAAGTATTTTTTTGTTTCATTATCAACTGTACTTATTACCCCAGTACTTACTTTTGGTGCGCTACTATATTTTAGGTACTATGAAAAGCGCTGAAACCTTCAACTTCCTATACCCGTCCACGTCACTTTTAGCTAACTGAACACATTTGAGCGTGTTTGAAATAATCTCCGGCGTTTAATATCATTATTATACATTATATGTTAAGAAAAACAAATAGAAACGTTTATGACATACAATTCGATGTTTTAAATATTAATAAGTTACCCATACTAAGTATGTGCTCTATTATTATTAATAGGAGTAACTGATTATTAAGAAGTGTTAGTTAATTATTTCTCAAAAATATCCTAAATTAAAAGAAAACGACTTATAAAAAAAACGTAAAAAATATGTTTTTTTTATAAGAATGTTACACTAATAATTATAATATGACCTTCTTATATAATTAAACATTGGATACATTATCATCCCCAAGAAAAACTACGTTTTTTTATGTTATTCGGACTGTCTTAACTTATATACAGGGTGTAATTGGTAAGTCCGTTCATGTACCTATGTAGAAGAGAAACGCATATACACCAAAACATATTTATAATATAATTAAAATCTGGAGATGAAGGATCGTAGACAAAAAGCAGACAGCCTAAGCCGGCGTGTAAGTGCTGTGTAAGGGTCTTGAGTTTCTCTAAGTCAAGTCGTTTGATTCGGTTCCTATTTCCTGCAGGGGCTGCTCCTCTGCCCACAAACCCTGTCGCAGACCCGTCGAGCCAGGTTGAGACGTGCCTTTACGGAGGCCACAGGAGATACAGTGACCTACGTTCGAACGGTGGGCCATTTTCGCATCACCAAGGACCACAATCGGCTATACAACCTGTTCGTTTGGGGCTTATAAATTTTAATTTCAAAATATTTGTGTTTTGTCCTCAGACTAATAAGTGATATTATTACTGTAAGCTTTATTTTTTTTTTAAATTGTTAAACCGATATACAGACAAAACAACATGCAGATTGCTTATTATTCTTTTTCGGACTCTTTGCCCGATGTAAAGCAAATAAAAATTAATTCTTCGAGCAATCGAGGAGCTAACATCTCTTGAAGATGCCGTCCGCTCACGTTGGCCGAAACCCGAAAAACAATGATAAGCTGAACGATGGCCGTAAAAGCCGTACACAATTTATTATTTTATAAAAGACTTATTTAACGCGAAATTTTTCTTAACATTATGTTAAGTATTGCGAAATTTAAAAAAAAAGAGGTAAGTTAATATTAAGTTACCTTGAATTGATAAATAAAATGCAAATATTTTGAAACCTACATACAGTTCCTTACATAAGCCCACCGTTAAAAACGAGTTGAAGTGGAACAAATATTGCAATCCAATAATTGTTTCCACGCGTACTTGCATGACTAGCGTAGGTTGTACAGCCGAATATCTTGTGATGTAACCAATGTAATTTGTTAGTTGGCGAATGTGACGTCCCCTTAGCTTCGTTAATGACGACCCCTGATTACCCCAGCACCAACTAGCTTTTCATCATTGAATCGTTTATAGGAACATCGGAACGCATCAATGCACACTTGGCACGAGAAATTGGCTTTGAATGTCGAATGGGAATTTTTTTCGTCTATCGGCAATTTATTTTGCTATCATCTTCATCATGGTGGAGGGTTTTCGCTTTGGGAATACCAAGTCACATACACAGCACTTATTATTTTTTAGCGTTCAATGCACTTTGAGGATGGTTAGATTGCACTAACATGCTTCTAAGTTTTAAGTTTTTACAATATCCAATTAAAATCTTGATACATCTATGTATGAAAGGATTAAAATCGTTCGGTCACAGTAGGGATTCTCCCTACGTGCATTTAATACGAAAATCTGCGGTCACATCGAGATTTGCGAACGAATCTCAAAGGGATTTTAAACCGTGTCTTTTACCTTTATTATAATGTTTTATAATCACGTACATTGGTGGTTACCATTTAATACCCAAACGTACGAAATGGAATTAAACCAAATTCAGTTTCCTCTTATCTCTATTTAACAGTTAGGAGAAGGATTATTTTGCTAAAAAGAAAGGTAACTTTAAAACTACTTTAGATATTATATTACGTTATATTATGATCAAAGTTCGGAATTTGTTTATTTTAAGTTGCTATTTACACATTTGAACGATTGCGGTTTTTGAATGCAAATTATAGGTCAGTCGCACTTTTAGCGTGTTGAATGTCAACTCTGTTAAATTTAAAAATAGACAACTCTGTTCTTGTTACACAGCAGCCAGGATTAAAAACGTATTCAGTAAGTACATAGCTATAAATGGTAGATGACAAAAATATGTTTGCGTGTTTTTATAATGAGATTTTGTATGAATGTGTTCATAATTATAACTACCCACTTTTGCACCGAACATTTTTAAGTCAAAAATAATGAAATATTGAAAAACAACAACTATCCTATTTAATATAGGAAACCATAGCTTAAGTTCTTTTTTAATGAAACTGCAACAGCTTAATCGCCACAATACAAAGTAAAAAATCAATTTAACCAGCGAATGCATATAAAGCGAGGGATTTTATACGCCATAACGTCGTATGTTGTCTTGAAACGAGATATTGAAACGTCTTCGTACCAAAAGAGCAATATAGCAGCGAGGCAGCGCTCAAGCGAATTTTATTCAGGCATTGTATCAATAAAGCGAACCCCGCTAAAAGGGTCAGATATGAGACATACTAAATTGCTCGGAAACTTGCATTAAGGCGATATGAAAGAGCGTCTTGCATTAAAGAGCTTTATAGCGAAGTGCATTTCTCATTTCCATATTTAGGGCCAATCGGTTGGTATTTGGAATATTATTAATGACTAGCATTTAACTATCTGCTCGCGACTTCGTCCGCGTTTTTAGGATTATATATTATTAATTTTTGCAAACAACCTCCTCGCCTTACTAACTTGTAACGCATGACGTCATTCGCGCCCAGTCGTTCATGCGAGTTAATTTTAAAAGTAGACATACCCTCGCGGACATTTTTTTAGATCATTTAAGATAAATTATTTTCTAAGCCTTAAGCCTTCCTCAATACATGGTCCCAATAATATAAAAAAAATTTTTCAGGTGGTACCTGTAATTTCTGAGATTAGCGCGTTCAAACAAACAAAGTCTTCAGCTTTTTAATATGAGTATAGATTGAACTCTCGTCTGACTAAACTCTAGACTAACTAGAGTCTGACTAGACTGAACTCGTGACAAACTTATAAAACATTAATTGTTCGACATAAAAAAAATAGTATTAGGTGACCATTGTCAATGGCATATTATAAACGTTGGTCAAAATATAAGTTACTATATTTTGCGTTTGAAACCGTTAATTTAGCACTATTTAGGATATGCTAACGAATCCATGATTTTTAACTTTTATTTTGCGTACATTTGATCCTCCAAATTTACTTAAGTGTTTTATAAATTTAATATAATATTTCAGTCGATTTGAGCTATCAATTTAACTAGTTGACAATTCTTCTCATTTCATTTCATAAGAACAGACAGGATTTTCACAAATTGAAAATCAATTGACTTCTACAAATTATCGACGACTAAAGCCTCTTATATCGTTGAGGCTGTTACAAATTTCCAATAATTGTTTGCTCACCAAGCCTTTGATTTAACGGAGATAGTAACCAAGGTGATTGTGGCTACGATAAGGATGTTTTCAATTATGATTATTAGATTATTATATAAAGATTAATGTATAACCTTATACTTGTTATAATAAAATTAAAAATTATGCAAATGTTAGAAAACATTTACCTAAACTAATGATGTTTGTGATTTACAGTACTTGCAGTGCTTTAAAAATGGAACACTAACAATTTTCTTTCCTAATCTTTTTGTTTGAACAAATATTTTATTTAAATAAAAGGAGATCGTTTCGTAGAGCCTCATAGAGGTTATATTAAACGGGGGTTCTCTGCTACGACAAAAATGATGAATTGGTAAAAGATACTTTGTAAGTTTAAGTGGACAAACAAAAATTGTTGGTATAACAAAAAAAAATACATATGATTTCTATAACTTTAATATATTCGCTATTAACGAAATTATAGACAGCGTCTCTAGATGTTACGAAGCTGGGTATTTAGCTTCAAGTGAGCGCCAGGTTGGCTGTCTTCCTCAGAGATGAAAAAAAGTATACTTACAATGAGTAAATTTGATAACTTAACCTTGTAACGTAAAACTATGACTAAAGGTAACGTCAAATGCGACCCAATAATTTTAACTTTACATACGACTCATGTCCTATTGAACTATAAAAAGATTTAACGGCTTTAACAAGAATCTTAAATTACTCTCGGGTGACGATTTTACTGCGAGAAGGAAAACATTACAGTCTGTTCAAAAGGTAAATGGGGCAGGTTCTTAGTACGCCATTAGCGTTTTAATTATCCGATTAATATAAGAAAAAGCTAATACAAGTGTTTTACTGAGCGCTAAATGAGTTTTTCAGTTAGCCGTATAATTTTATACGAGTAGAGAATTTTAAAACGCCAGTGTAGTAAAGCGAAGCTTAATTTGTCTCAGTTTAATGCATTGAGGTCTCTCAGCGCACTCTGGAGTATAATATTGAAATTAACTCACTCTCTCGAGATTACCCCGATGCTTAAAACAAATTGTTCGATTTAACAGCGCTAGATAAAAAAGATAGTTATTTTTAATTAGCCTCTAGCTTAGTTCTGAAACGACAAAAGTATTTACTTCGAGAGGAAAATGAAGTAAATTCAGCTCGTTTGGTTACTTCTTTTTTTACCAATTGTGCAACAGTACAGTAGTAAACAATAATCATTTAATGCTCTGTTTTTATATAATGATACAATTTGAAACCGATATTTCTTAGTCATAATTAGGAATAAGGCTAAAAAACGAGTTACTTATTTTCGAAAAAAAAACACTACAGTTTATATTTTAATAATATATATATATAAATACTTTTTAAATTAAAAACAGCATAGGAAATCTCATGAAATAGCTTATATATTTTTAAGCATTTATACTTATGAATAGAGATAGGAAAACTTTCAACTTATACCCATTTATATTCTTTACTTGAACCCAGCAACATTTCTCAATGGGTTTTTGTAACACTTCTTATTTACCTAAGAACTGGGCGTGCCCGGTAAATCTTTCTAAACGATAAAAATTTCTCCGCCAGTAGACCTGTCTACGAAGATTATTTATGTTACAGAATTATTTGTTGTATGGCAGCTATTGTTCCTTCGAATGTAATATGTTGCAGCTGAAACTTAGTCTGATCTGGCTTTGTGCTAAGTTTCAACAGAGCATTGTGAGCCACAAACAGCAATATATTCAGCTTCTCTTCGAAGATAATCCAGCTTCGAAATAGCAAACTGCTAGAACCAAATTTTCAATTAGTGATCGAAGGTGTTTTGAACTGTGCTATGCAAATTGTCAAACTTATCTTTCCATTAATATTATATTATGTGGGTATTACTTCTGACAACTTTAGTTAAGTTAGTAATATTTAAACTGCGTCCTGTAACCCTGTTGTATTATTGTAACGTTAAGCAACAACAATGGTACTATTGTGAACAATCTTATGTATCTTTGTCAAAGTTAAGCGTTAGAACCTTATACAGAAACAAAGAACATAAGAAATAATTTTTACATAACTTTTGTATTATTATTATATAGAATTTGATTTTATATTGGTATCATAACATAAGTCCTTACAATACAAAGGAAGTATATGTATCAATAGTTCACCCTTGCGTGAAATCTTGCTTGAATCTTCCCCTTTGTGGGGCATGGGGCGAACACATGTCCGTGTCCGTTTCACTGATCCGTTTTTTAACAGGCAAGTAGTGGATCAGACTT